CAATTTCAGGTGGGGGGCACTTTCTGACCCGCCCTAGATGGTGCGGACAACATTCCCTGCGGACAGGAGCCATACTCTCAGTGGTAAATCTCGGGGAGGGGGTGCATGCGTTTACATCAACAACAACTGGTGCAATAACAGCAAAATTGTCTCAAGCCACTCTTCGGAAGATATAGAGTTCCTAATGCTAAAATATCGACCATTTTATTTGCCAAGGGAATTTACAGCCATTAGCATCACAGCTGTTTACATTCCCCCCAGTGCTAGCACAAAAGATGCACTATCCACACTGTACCAATCTGTCAGCACGATGCAAAATGCCAAACCGGACTGTGTTTATATCGTTGCTGGAGACTTTAATCAGGCCAACCTGAGGTCAGTACTATGAAATTACTACCAACATGTGGATTTTGCAACCAGAGGAGAAAATACACTAGATTGGGTTTACACAAACATCAAACAGGCTTTCAGGGCAGCCCCCCACCCCCACCTTGGAAACTTGGACCATCTCTCTGTTATATTAATTCCAGCATACAGTCCACTGTTAACCAGAAGCAAGCCATCTGTGAAGCAGATAAGGACCTGGCCAGAGGGAGCAGTTTCAGCACTTCAGCACTGTTTTGAATGCACTGACTGGAAAGTGTTCAGAGAGGCTGTCACTGTCAACCAACACGTCAATCTGAGGGAGTATGCTGAGTCTGTGATGGGATTCATATCCAAGTGTGTGAAACATGTGACCGTCATCAAGAATATCACCACACGTGCCAACCAGAAACCTTGGCTCACCAGAGAGGTACATGCGCTTCTGAAAGCACAAAATGATGCCTTCAAGTCTGGGAACAAGGACGCTTGAATAGGAGTGTGAGAGCAGCAAAGCGTGCTTATGGTCAGAAAATCCAGAGTCACTGCACTGACTCCAAAGACCCCAGGCGCTTGTGGCAAGGTATCCAGTCCATCACAGACCACAGGTCCCCCCCACCACCACCCTACGATGACAACACTGACTTCCTCAACACACTCTATACTTAATTCAGCCGCTTTGAGAAAAAGAACACTACCACAATAATGAAAGCCCCTCTCAGTCTGGATAACAAAGTACTCTGTCTCGACCCAGCTGATATCTGGAGGACCTTACACAAGGTCAATCCATGGAAAGCTGCAGGTCCTGATAACATACCAGGGTGTGTACTCAAGGAATGTACTGACCGACTGACACTCGTCCTCACAGACATCTATAACACCTCCCTGAGCCAAGCCATCGTTCCCTCATGCTTCAAGGCCACCACTATCGCACCACTGCCAAAGAAGTCACCAGCATCAACACCCAATGACTATCGCCCTATAGCACTAACTCCCATTATGATGAAGTGCTTTGAAAAGCTAGTTAGAAATCACATTACATCAAGACTCCTGAGAACACTCGACCCACTCCAGTTTGCATACCACCCTAACCGCTCCACTAATGATGCCGTATCAGCAACACTTCGCCTGAGTTTAAACCATCTGGAGAATAAGTACAGCCATGTACAGATGCTCCTCATTGACTTCAGCTCTGCCTTCAACACAGTCATCCCCATGTACTTGGTAAGGAAACTCGGCTCAGCCTACAGAGAGGAAGTGAACCAACTCCGTCATCTGGTGTGACAAGAACAACCTGTCACTGAATGTTGACAAGACAAAGAAATTTAACTGGTTGCCAGTTAAATTTCGCATTGATTACAAAATTATTTTACTGACATATAAAGCTCTAAATGGACTCGCCCCTCAGTACCTGAGTGAACTTCTAGCATACTATGAACCACTGCACCTACTTAGATCACAAGGTGCTGGCTTACTATTAGTACCTAGAATTAATAAAGTTACATCAGGGGGGACAGTCTTCTCATACAAAGCCTCCCAACTTTGGAATAATCTTCCAGTTAGTGTTTGGGACTCAGACACAGCCTCATTCTTTAAGTCTAGGCTAAAAACTTACTTGTTTAGTCAAGTCTTTGGTAATTAGTTTTGTCTGTTAGATAAAAGGTGCAGATCTGGGGGTTCATGGACATAGAGTATTATGGTCAACTGGTAGTGTTGGTGCTGTCGTCCAGCTGCTCTCACGCATTCACTCAGGTTTGCTGACGGTGGAGCAGAGGGGTGCTTACATCTCAGGGAGCCCTAATGTCTCTGTTACCTTTCTGGTTTCTCCCTTTTAGTTAGGCTGTAATAACTAGACCTGCCGGAGTCTGTGCTGCACTCTGTTAATACTGTAATCTGTGATCAGTCACTCTTTACAGAACTAACTCTCTGTGTGTTTTCCTTTTCTTTGCCGAGTTGAACAACTCCCCATCCTGTGGGTCTGATGCTGTTGCTTCTTCTGCCTTGATCGGGTGCCCACTGCTCGCCAGCCTTCTGGACCGGTTTGACCACCATTGAGCTTCATGCCGTATAACGCTGTGCAAACCTCACCCTCATGAACTGACCCTCCTGATACTGCTGCTGCTGTATAAAGTAAAACTAATCTAATTAACCATTGCTCCACCTGTTTTCCCCTTTTTGTATAATATTTTATACTAATGCTGTTTGCTATTCGGTATCGACCAGAGGAGGATGGGTTCCCCTTTTGAGTCTGGTTCCTCTCAAGGTTTCTTCCTCTTGCTCTTAGGGAGTTTTTCCTTGCCACTGTCACCATTGGCTTGCTCTTGGGGGCTCGGACCCGGATTTTTCTGTAAAGCTGCTTTGTTACAACACCTGCTGTAAAAAGCGCTATATAAATAAACTCTGACTTGACTTGACAAAGCAAATTATTGTTCACTTCAGGAGGAAGCACTTGGTACATACCCAACTTACAATCCATGGTAATGGTGTTACCAAGTTTTTGGGAGTGCACATCACGGACAACCTGACATGGACTACACACACCACCTCCCTTGTCAAGAGAGCATATCAGCGCTTTCACTTCCTACAACGGATGTTTTATGTCTGTCTATACTGTCTAGTATGTCTATGTTGAGTTGCCTTTTATGTTATATTTATGTATATTTTTGCACATCAGAGTTGGAGAAACGCAATCTCGTTGAGCTGTGCACTGCTTGTTGTATAGTCTGAATGACAAAGTTCACTTTGACTTGACTTTTGACACTTTGACGTTGACTACAAAATGGCTGCTACAGAGCATCAAACCACATATTGTCAATCATGGAATATCCACTAAAATATGTATTTTAATCCATTTTTATTCAATTTTTTTACAATTACCTAAGAATAAAGTAGGTCATACCAGTGACTTCAACTAAAAGCTTCATATGAAATCATGAGTTAAATGAGAAAATTTCTGATAACTGAAAAGACACTGTGAACTTACTATGTGCTTTTCTTCACAGATCCTCAGAAAATAGGTAAAAGGAAGTCAAGTGACATCATCAGTGTGATTTTTATTTCAAAATAAGAGATTTTTGTTACGCAGTAACCCAAGTGACATGACTGCTGGGGACACAACTTTTATTATATATTTTATAATATTTATTTGGTATTTGTTTTCTTTATGTCATTTAGATAATATATTTCATACTCATGTATAAATTAATGTAGTTAAAATTGCAGAAAAACATGTTTTTTACCTCAAAATATGGCACTCACCCTTTACACATCACTGTGAGGACGAGCACTTTTGTGGTGCTTGGAATTCTATATGATTGATTTAAAAACCAATATTGCTAAATTGATGGCTCAAGTAGGTGTAATTGTTAAAAGAACTTGTTTTATTTTAAAATATAAATAAATTGTAACCCTAACATGTTGTCAAGTGTAATATATCTATAAATGCTAGGGACACAAAAATGGACTTTTCTAAATGGCTCATATATAAAGTGCACTTGTATGCAGATGGCACAATTTTATTAACTCCAGTGCTTGTTTACTGCCTTACAGTTTATGCTGTTCTCCAGGTCTTCAAATATTGAGTTTAATACGTGAATATTACTACCCTGACAGGATCCAGCACTGAGTGAGCCACAGAGTATAACTACCTTGGCATTTGGCTGGATGAGAAGCTTACAATTAAATCTCACGTTAATAAACTAGCCGGTAAGAACAGAGACTTGGATTCCTATATTAAAAGATATCTTGTCTGCCTATGTATGCCAGAAAAAGAGTTGTGGAGGCAACCTTACTATCAGTATTGTACCTTCAAACCACTAGACTCAATCTATCAAAAATTTGAAAATTTGTCTCTAAAAATCGGCTTACTGGTGTCACTCAATCATTTTAAACTTTTAGTCTCTAACCACCTTCAGACAGCCTGTAATTGTTTTAGTTCAGTTTGACTTTTCCTTTTCTTTTTTCATTCTATCGTAATTTTATTTTATCTTACTATTTTATTGCAACTGTTTTATTTGATATAAATTCTTTGTGTTCTATTTTAGTAAATCATTTTATTTCTAAGATTTTTAGTTTTCTTATTGCTTATTAGTTGTTTTTTTTTTTACTTATTTTTAAGTGTTTTCCATGTATATTTTATTGCTATTTTATGCCTGCTTCTTATTTGAGCTGTTATTTTTATTTCTTTATTAATCTTTTTGTCTTCCCGATTTTTCATTTTAACTTTTTCGATCCCTGCGTAACTTGCTCGGCTACACTGTAAATGAGGGTCACTCTAAATGTACTTGCAATTTGAAATAAAGGTTGATTGATTGATGTAGCAAATCACTGTGTATGGCACTGTCATGAATGAACAAACTGAATTGAATGACAAAAATATTTTCCTTAGAAGTGTTAGGATGTGGCCAACAAATATTGGTCAGGTTTGATATATATATATATATATATATATATATATATATATATAATATATAAATTTAAAAAATTATTATAAATAATTTAAATAATTAAATAATTTCACAAAGCAGTTGAAAAAACAATTTACTGGACAATACCATATGGAAAATACCCTTATACACATTTTGTACACACACAAGTGTAAGATTGATCAGTATAAAAATTGGTCTAGAAACCTACTGCAATCAGAGTGCATTCCAATCAACTGGCATCTTTCCAGATGCCTTAAGAAAACTATTGGTTTTTGAGAAGTGTCTGCATCCGAAAAAGCCCAGGTGAGCGGAGTATGGCGATGGATGAGAAGTCTCCAGGACATGATGCCGAGTCTAAAAAAATTGTAACATTGTAATCACATGTAATCACCTACAGCTGAAAGCAAATTTATACATCTGAAACTGAATAGATCTGATTATTACTGTGAATAACAAACACTTCTTTATCATGGTTAAAGACATAGATATAGCAGCTGAGGTATTTTAATCTGACTTTGGGTTTCCAGCTCATCTCAAATGGATTGCTCTGGATTTTTTGGGATTTTTTATTGACACTACATGTGTAGCTGTTAATCTAATTAAAATCATAAAAATCTCAAGGACTGAATATGATTCCTGGAAACAAAACCTTGGCCAATTGACTGCAAAATGATGAAAAATGATTGACCCTCTCAGCCAATTGTCTCCAAACATTTCTTCCTCGTCAAGTGAAGGAAAACTTCCACAGGAGAACATCTCAACCTGCAGTGAGTATGACACTTGCAGTAAATTAGTCAGAATTATTCGACTAAGAAATGGTGAAATGATGTTATTGAGGAATGTAAAATACTCCACACACGCTATGCTAATCATCTGGAGGGCGGTGTTTTTGTTTTATTCTTGAAGCTTAAGTATTAAGTAACTTCATTATTTACCTACTGACACTTAGCTTGATTTATCAGTTAGACTTAACAGGACTGTGCAGTGCTCACATTTGTGACTAACACATCATGTGTTAAATAGTAATACACTCGTACACATTGTATTCTTTGTGTTGTTTCATTAAAATTTGGTAACCTTGTGTAAAAGTCCTCCTCAGCATGTAACATTGCTCCAGTGTTAGCTTTAGCATTCGTTTATTTGAAGTGTGCGTCAAGTGCAAAAAAAGGCTTTGCGTCTATGTTTGACTCTTACTGTGCAGTGTACGCTAGCCGTTTCTACCAAGAAACAGAGCTAATTGTCAGTATTCTTTCTATGTTGTGCATTCTAGGCCCATAATCAAAACAGGAGACAGCTATATTTTAAGATGTAGCATCAGCATTGCACTAGTATAAACCTTGAGAAGGTACCAGGTAGCCTGAGCTGAAAGTTTGATGGACATAGCACAAGAGACTATGGGAGGTGGGATGTTCTCAGAATTTTGCCAATGGTCAATTCCTTGAATTTCCTTGAGTCTTGGCAACCTAAAGAATGTCCATACAATGGACTGTACAACAGATAATGCTAACAAAATTACAACAGCCAAAAATTTTTACATCTGTATCTGTGAACTTACTCTATCAATGACTGCACCTTTGCTTTGAGCATAGGATCCCCACAGCAAAAAGACGAGGCTTCTTAAACTCCTGCTCAGGGCCAAAACTACAGCATCAGTGAAGAGCTCCCAGCCCTGACTGTGGTGCGAGGTGGGCTGTCGGTCTCTAACAGTCAGCACTGAGTTCAGGAGCAAGACACCTAAGAGCAAAAATGGACATAATTTTTTTGAGAGATAGACAACACTGAAAACAGAAATAAAGCCTTGGAAGGGACCTGAAGATAGTAGTTAAGCACTGAATAGCTGCAGGCTTTGATGGTTTGGCCAAAAATCAAATGTGCTAAATTTCCCCCCTACCCCAATTGTAGTTAATTGCCATTTTTGGTGTCCAAAGCTTGCTTCTTTAGTTTTGCACTGCAGATACGAAGCCAATGTAGCTAACAGGTAATGGAAGTTTGACCACCAGGTTATCATCATGCAAACTACGAGCCTTAAATCATCACTGACTTGCTTCAAACTGCATTGAACTGTTACATAATCTCAAATAGATGGGGTTATGTGGTTTCTGGCACTGTATGGCATGATAAAAAAAGGAACAAATTATCTACAAAATTCAGACCTTAAGCTGGGTGCTACTACTGTTTTAAACTATGGGACATACCCATTTTTTAGTTAATAGTATGTAATATGGTGTTATAAACCACGTAAGCAAGTTTATGCAGTTTTCACAATGCTAACCTGGGGCCGTATTACAGAAACTTCCTATCTTTTTGTCTTAACTTAAGATCTGACAGGTCAAGATAAGATTTTTCACAAAATCGTATTATAGAAGCAAATCTTATCTTAATTTAGGAATCTTATTATAGAGAATTTTATCTTATCTCAAGTTAGGAAATCTCAACTTACTCGATCAAAGTCGAAAATCAACCATATGCATACACCTGAAACATAAAAACACATACTAAAAATCATCAAGTTTTTTAGCCCCACCACTAACTATTGTTACTGGTGTAAAAGAGGTCAAACATAACTAAAGCATGGTAAACTTGAAGTTAAAAATATTGTAACAGCACTTTGTGCTGTTTATCAGAGCTGCTCTGTAGTCAACACTTTATCCAACAACTTAAGTCAAAGTGCCGTTTTCAATGTAGATAAATGTAACGTAAATTATGCTAGTTATAGTGCTATGCTGCCTATAGTACTATGCTGCCTGTAACAGAAGTTAAGACACTTCAGGGGTTAACTTAAAGTTAGGACAGAATTTAGGATTTTTTTTCTAGTTAGGATGTTTCAGTAATACTGTTTATTTATCTGGAGTTAAGATATAACTATGAACTTAGAAACTGTTGTTCTGTAATAGCTTCTGTGCTAAATTCAGTCTTAACTTAAGTTGTCATGGTAATAAAGCAGATAAGATTTCAGACTTAAGAGCTTTCTGTAATATGGCCCCTGGTGTCTAGAAACTTCCATTACTTGATAACTACATTAGCCTTAGAGCCACAGTACAAAAATGAAGAGCAAACTTTTGACACCAAACTATGTTGGCTGACAGACTACATTTGAAGGAAAACTGTATACATTAGTTTTTTTTTAACCAATAGTACTTCAAATATGACAATAAGACACTGCAATATCTGTAGTTCTGCATGTAGGGGACTCACGTGAAATGTTGATTAGTCATAAGACTTCTGTAGCAGCCCATTTGTTGATTTGGCCTAGATTTTGGGGTTTGATGTCCATGTTTGTATAATACTGTAATGGATGTAATTTAACAGAATATACTAACCCTGTTTAGCCCATCCTGTCAGGTCCCCATGACCAGGGTGCTGGAAGTTCTCAATATCTATTGCTAGTTCAGTGAAAATGTTTTCCAAGCTGAAACATATGAACAGTAATTCAGATTTGAACCGTAGCCTGTTTGTTATTGGCATAACCTCACATAAAAGATGAAGGATTATTTGTTTGCAAACTTGTTGGCTACAGTTATGCAAACTTGTTTGCAAACTACTGTGTTGTGCTGTGCAATGCTGAGAAACTTAACAATTTGTTGATGCTAAATGCATGTTTATCAAGTCACTGAAATTTGAAATCTCCCTAAACAACAAAGGACTATACATGGACCCAAATTGGTTATTGTCATAAATACACGTCTTACACATTCATTTAATGGTGATTTCCTAGTAGTTAGTGAGTAATAAATGTTTAACACTAATAACTGAATAATAAGCTTTCCTTATAACAGATTAGCTTTGTGCTCAAACAAAGACATACGGTCTGTTTTTAACATGCTTTTTTAACATGCTGTCACAGATTTCACCTCATAATTTAGGAGAGCATACCACTTTTGTTACAAGGTTGGCCATTTGCAGGACAAAGGGAGAATACTGCAACAAGAAACAGACTCAGTAAGCTAATTAGATATGTTTGCTAAGTCCAAGCTACATAAACTCTGTGAAAAATTGTTTTGTTTAGCTTAAGCTTCAGGTTTAATCTGTGGTGTACTGCCTTTCTTTTGTTGTTACTCGCTAAGCAGCCCTTAGCATGCTAAATAACAAGCTAGCAGAGTATAACAGATGGAGTGGTTTGCTACACACAGTGACCCCAAAGAGTATTTGGACACTTAGCCATTGGTAAACTTGTGTTTCAAATAAATGCAGCTTGGTTTGACATTTTGTTTCCTAACACAATGAAGTTAATATAAAGCCCAATTTGAATGTACAAATCAAATGTTATAAAGACACTTGCACTAGTTTCATAATTAAATGTTACTTTTTTTTTTAATTATTCTGTTGCCCTGGGTTACAAACAGCTTCTTTGTTATTTTTCTTTATGGGGTTTGAAAAGTTAACTGCGTCAGATTGCAAAGATTTCCCGGCCAATTCTGCTTTCGGCTACGGTTATGTAAACATAACCCCTAAGCCCCTTCAACAGGTCATCTAACAGACTTCACTTGAATTGCCTTTAAAATGCTGTTGGGGATTCCGTCAAGGGGAAATGGTGAGGACGAGGTCCACTTATAACATTTGTGTGGTATTATTTACCAATCATTGTAATATTTTTTACCTAACAATTTTCCAAGCACTCGTTATCCCTTAGAATTAAACGGATGTGTAACTAATATAAAATAAATAATCCCTCTTCTAATTGACTGCCCTCTACTGTGCCTCATTCAAAAAGTACTCAGAGCTGAAACTCTCCTTAGAACTTCAATATTAATAGTCGAAGCTAAACCACTGTAGGCTGAATAGGTGGATGTACATAAATTAGTTGATTGTCGTGACATCACAAAAACAATTAATTCAGAATGGACTGTTTCTGTGGGCATATGGGCTGGGTAGTAAATGGTACATTTATAAACTTTAACAATGTTATATATTACTTCAAACTCCTTTATTTAAAAATATGAAGGAAATTTAAAGTTATTTCAGGTGTGTACCTTGGAGGTGGCAGAGCAGGTCTCTGTACACTGAAGCATAAGCCATGGGCCTGACCTTTCCTGGGGTATGGGTCTTGGCCAAGGATGACTACTTTTACCTGAGGCCCCAGAACAATACACATCAGTAACTCATCTGAGCTCTTAGCCAGCTTGAACCCTTTCAGTGTTTCATTTTGCATTTAAAAACTTACATCCTCAAATGCACACACATTTGTCCAAAGGAATACTTGCTCTGCACTTGGGTAGACCGCAAACCGTTTTCTCTCCTCAGCAATAAAATACATCAGCTAGAGGAAGACAAAGATAAAGAGAGAAAGAAACATGCACTAGTAGATGTACTTAGAAGTTTCAGTGCAGTTCAATAGGAAACTCAGTACTTAAAGATTTTTTAAACCTAATACTTTTTTACTTAAGTTTTTTTGTTACGCTTTTGTTATACTCAACCTACCTCCTGCTTATGATTCATGACTATTTTCAGTAAAGTAAGCCAAGGCTGTGAAGTAAAGAGAATGAAAATGTGTTCTTGTATACCTTGGTGAAGTAAGGTTTGGTGAACTCATCCCCAATGTGCTTTCGCCAGGTCTCTCCAATGGGCACAGGAACATTGCGGGCAAATAGTCTGTCCAGTGCTGCCTGCCTGTTCTGTTCTATTTGCTTCAACTGCTCAGCACTGAGCTGTGGTCCATTGCTACAAAGTCCCTCTTTTGTTAGTGATTCGATTTCCCAAAGAAAACAAACATCAAAACTACATGTAAAAAAACAACTGCTGCATAGTTAATTGTGCCACACATTTTCATTCAATCAGATGGAGTGGAGTTATCATATACAGACTTTGTTACCAAAATATAAAATGCAATTAAAATTAATATCAGCATATTCTCAGTCTAACAAACCCCTTGCTAGGTACTATGCAATTTCTCATGTCCAAAAGTTAAATTTGCACTTTTTGTAATAAAAGGAAAGCAAAGCAAGGCAAATCTATATATTAAATTCCCTTAAAAATCTTTAATTTTAATTTGTAATCACAAAATTCTTGCCAAAGTGGTGCCCCATATTTCACATGACATAAAATTAAGTCATTAACATTTTTAAGATGCAGATGAAGTATTAGATGAAATAGTGGCAAAATAAATACATAAAAGATATAAAAATCTTGGTGATAGAAATAATGACAAATTTAGACTATATGAATACCTTGTGACATCAGTGCTTTAAGTTAGCAAGAGGTTTCTTCTGTGGAACGTGCATGTGTCTTTGGGAGTTTCTTGCACCCAGAGCTGCAGCAAGCTCGTGTGGTATGCAAATCTGTTTGCTCTGCAAAATGCAAAACTGATTGGTTAAAATTTGTGAAAGTGAAACTTCAAGTTAGTTCTGAAATAGGTTTGGGTTGAAATAGGTTGAGGTTTAAACCCATAGCTGTAACTGTTAATTTCTCAGCTTATCCTGGCCCAGTGTAAGCTTTGAAGAATGGGTTTAAAATGACTACAGCGTTAGTTTGTAAGTGTGCACCACATCCTAAGTGGCAAGCTTAAGCCGAAGTGAAAGCCAGAGCTCAAGCTGTCATGTCAAACCATGTGAATCCATGTTGAGGAAGCCTATAATGGAATGTGTAACATCTGTATTTGGGATGTAATTCTGTTTACACGCTTTTCATGAATTGCGATGCTAATTCCTTATAAATAAATATTTTGAAAAATAAATCTTTTTAAAAATCCACACTAGAGAGCCTTACTATCAACTTTCCTCTTTCTAGAGGCCCCGAATAAACTTGGGGATTCCTGCAGGACTGGAGTGCAACATAGTTTGGTGATTTCCCTGCTCAAACACACCTGCTAAACCTTCTCATTAACAGATGACCTTTCCATTAACAGTTGAATAGGTGTGTTTGAGGCAAGGAAATAACCAAACTGATTAAATGAAACTGACTGTAAACTGAAGATCCCTGCCCAACCTGATCTAACAATTTTCCTACTACCCTATCTTTGATGTCTAAAGTTTGCAATCAGCACTCAGCAGCATCCAATGCTCTATATTTTAATATATATTTTGTTTTCCAAAATTAAAGGACATTTCCATACAAATAGTGGAAACATTTTTTTTTAAGTTTTTTGTTTTTAGTGTATATCTATAATTAGTTAAATAAAATTAAAATTAAAAAATTCAACTATTATTTGTAAAGCATTTACTCTCTTGAGACTAAAATCAGTTTGGGACATTCTAAAATGCTTAGAGCAGCCTGAGTCTGTACAAGTCAAGATTGTTATGATAGCCTATATTCTAACATTAATCAAGCACAGATTGTTTCATTACACATTGACTGGTTCAGTCAATTATACACTTTTAGCAAAAGGGCTTATATATAGAAGGGGTTCTTTGGCTTGTAACACCGTGGAACTCTTTTTTGTGCTATAAAGAACGCTCTTCAAAAAGATTTCTGAAAATAACCGTACACATTCTTCATCGATCTGAAGAATGCTTTCACGATGCAAAGAACCCTTTAATCATGCAAAGGGTTACTGGAGTGTTCATGGTTCTATATAGAACCATTTTCTTTATTAAAGAACGCTTGAAGCATCATCTTTTTTAAGAGTGTAGATGATACAGAAGGTAGCTAGACAGAAGAAAATGGCAGTTAAAACTATTGCATTGTTTCCCTCAGGGACGATAAACCTGTGAAGTGTTACAGCACTTGTTGCAGCTTCCTGTTTTCAAAACTAAGACTATATTGAGCAGCAGTGTTCATGTGGGCTGAACTGTAGACAGAAATTTGATAACTATATCACACCTATAACTATATTACACTGTTTGATTAGTATAGCAAATCCCACTTTGGATGTAAAATAGGGTTTAATTTCAAGTGTCTATCTCTCTCTCTCTCTCTCTCTCTCTCTCTCTCTCTCTCTATATATATATATATATATATATATATATAATATCTGTTAAATAGACTTTACATTATATATATATACATTATGTAAAGTCTATTTAACAGATATAATGAAATGCTGTTGTCATTAAATATGACAGAATAAATATAATTTATCTGTGCTGTTATGTAAACAAGGTTCAAACATTAAAAATTCTGTAACTTGCAAGACCAGGACCTATTGACTTGTGTTACAGCTTCATGTTTCTCCCACAGCACAAAATTATATGACAAATTCACCCAATCAATTCAAGAGATAAATAAATAATGCTGACAGAGATCATGTGGGACACAGAAGTTTGACCTCCAGCTTTTGATAAACATAGCTTAATTCTGTTTTATATATAGAAATGTACAGTTTTAAGCAGCATTAACAGCTGTAAGAGATGAAAGTATGAAATGATGATGTAAAAATCATCAGCTGCACCACTTTCTCACAATCACGAGCCATGTCTTAACGGAATATAGGTGGTCAATTGACAAAATGCTTACACACACACACACACACACACACACATGCACATTTTCTGAAACCGCTTATCCTTCTGGGTTGTGGGGGGGTGCTGGAGCCTCTCTCAGCGGTCATTGGGTGGAAGAGAGTATACACCCTGGACAGGTCGCCAGTCCATCGCAGGGCAGACAGACAGACACACATACATTCACTCACACATTCACTCCTAGGGGCAATTTAGCATGTCCAATTGGCCTGACATGTCGGACTGTGGGATGAAACCGGAGTACCCGGAGGAAACCGACGCAGACATGGGGAGAACATGCAAACTCCACACAGAAAGGACCCTGGTTGCCCGGCCGGGAATCGACCCCAGGCCCTTCTTGCTGTGAAGCGATAGTGCTACCCACTGCAAAATGCTTATAAATTAACCTATTTATTATGTATATATAAATATAATTTATCCATAGTCTCTGTCGGGACTATGTTTAACAGGCTCTTGGCTGCTGGTTACTCTTGGCAGCAAGACTTCACAAAATCTGGTGCGTTTGTCCAAAAGTATTCCCCCAAGATTCTCTGAATCTTTTAATGTTATTATGTACTGTAGATGATGAAAAGCAAAATTGTTTGCTATTTTACGTTGAGAAACGTTATCCTTTAATTTGCTGTCTTTCACAGAGTTGTGAACCCCTCCTCATCTTTACTTTTGAAAGCCTCTCCGGAATACTTTTTTATACCCAATCATGTTACTGACCTGTTGCCAATTAACCACCAGGTGTTTTTCTTTTAGCATTACACAACTTTACCAGCCTTTTGTTGCCACCGTCCAAACTTTTTTGAAACGTATTGTTGGCATCAATTTCAAAATGGGCATACAGTTTCAACATTTGATATGTTGTCTTTGTACTATTTTCAATTAAATATAGGGCTTAAATGATTTGCACGCCATTGCATTTTTTTTGTTACACTTTTTGGAAATGGGGTTGTACGCTATAACTGTACTTTGACCAAGTAATTCTGAAAAATATCTGTTATTTATGTGTTAAATCTATACTTCAATGAAGTGTGCTTAAAACAGTGCTCGCAATGAAATATTCTGTATTAGCAGTTTGATATTATTAGTGATAAATGTGATGTCTGGCCATTGAATGTGTAAATATAAAATACAAGGGCACTTTAAAACAGCTTTAAATATTGTCTTCCTTGTGCTAATTTAGTGTTATTTGTATGATACATTTTATATCAAATATAGATCTAACAGTGAAACAAAATCACGCCACAACAATAGGATGTCAGAGTACTTACATCAGGAGAGGCGCCACAACTCCAAAATTGGTGGGGCAAAACAAACTGTTTCAAATAAAAAAAAAGGCAGCTGGCTGAGTGACGTGCAATTAGGCCACTGACTAAAACTGCCTTTCATGTCATACTAAGAACATGTCTTTATAAACCTTTTCAGAGGTGGGAGGTTTATAAAGGTTTATAAACCTTTTCATCGTCATGTCTCAGATCTGGAGAAAGTGAACGTCAGAACATACGCCGTCAGACCAAACGGCCTCAGAGAAAAGGTATCAGACCAAACGCAAGCCTGGTCGAGCATATGCTGGTTCATATAACTTAGAAAACTATTGTGTATCTCGATATAAATGCCAGTATAACATTTTTTAATATAACATAACAGTTTTTTCTGAGGCCATTTGGTCTGATGTTCAGTTTCACCAGATCTGAGACATGATGATGGTTTTTCTCGAGGCTCTAAGTTGTTTAGCTTGAGGAATGATGCCGTTCTGACGCGGAGGTCTGATGATGTCCTAAAATGTACCCCGTAGCCCCGCCTAGTGCTAATTAACATATATTTGCATGTTGGTCAGTTTGAAAACGGAAAAACAAAAGTTGGAAATGAAAAGTAAATCTCCAGCAGGTGGCGCCAATGTTCGTTTGAATTTGCCTTTTCATTCTGACACTTAAAGCGCGTCCACGCCAAAAACTGAATCACAAATAGTCCCTTTGCTGTTGATTTATCTATTTTACATTTTCATTTTAATTTTGTCAGATATGCAGCTGATTGCTATGGAAAAGAAATAAGAACGTAAACATTGCATTTTGATTTTAGTTTTGACACGTATTCTGCATTTTATGCATCTTTTCTCTAGTAGCTTTTTCATTTTAGATTTGGCAATGAAATACCAGAACAATGACTAAAATGGAATGACATATAGCTGTTTTGAATTTATTCATGCACATGTGAAAAACTGAATTGCAAATGTAGGTATTTCATTTCATTTTCAATTTTGGCAGGATATTTGTGCGGATGTTTGGCAAAAAGTGGTTTGCATTTATATTTTATTGTTTTAATTTAAATTTCTTTTTTGTCTGGATTCGCCTCCCATACTGTGTAAAGAGCATGCTGTATGAAGCGTCTGTTCCTCTGGCTGCTGCCGCCGAAAGCTGTGGGTTTTTGAAAGCAGCGTTACTCCAAGTGGAATGGTGGGTATGTAAAATAAGTACTTGCAGATACCTTTCTGACAAAATGTATTACCTAAAACACTGGTCCAGTGATAAGAAGTTAGCTAAACGCTAAAGTTAGCTTAGTGTTAACATACCGTTATTAGTTTTTTTGACGGTTCAAAATTTATAACGTTAGCACCGTGTTTGCATGTACTTGTTTTGTTTCTGTCAGATTAGCTATAACATTAGCTAGCAATCAGATTGGTCTTTTTGTCGGTTCACAGTTCATAACGTTAGCTAGGATGTGTGTTTGCATCTGCTGGCTAATGCCGGTTGCTTATGGTAACGTACAATTCAAAATTGTGTTTGTTAAGATTGCACATTAGTGATGTGTTGCTTTTATATAGGAGCAGATTAGACAACTTTTCAAAGTTTTCAAAGAAAGACATTAATTTGCCATTAGTAGTTAGCGCTGTGATGGTAAGGATTTTTTATAGTGCAGTGAAAAAGTAACGTATCCCCGCGGTTTGCGATTTACCGTGAATCATCACCCCTGCCCCCACCCCATCTCGCGTCTCGCGCCAATCGCGCCCCTCTCTCGGCCGAGCCTCGCGCCTCGTTCGAATATGCAATAACGCGGGTATCATCACAGCCCTAGTCAGTGACAGAGGTTGGTTAACGTTTTGCAGTGGAGTTGATGGAACTGCAAAGACTGAGCTAAGTTTTCGTATGTTCTGTTCTTACAGGTTCTTCAGAAGATGCAGTGGAAGTGCAAGTATTGTGAGTTTAAATGTGAGAAAAGGGGTCTCCAGGAACGAGGCTCAACTAGTCGCTGTAGTGGTTGGAAAAACAGTCTGATATATAAAATGGCTAATTACAGAACAAAGCATAGGAAATCAGGATACCTTGGTGTGGTGGTAAAGAATTTCAAGAAGGCCAAGAAAGGCGAGCTCAGCTACTGACCCAACTTTCCTAAGGGATTTTATCAGTCAGGCTTCAAGGGTGCCCAAAAACACGGTTGAGGAAATGCACAACTTGTAAAACAGAAGATGGATGTGACATTTGCATTGAGAAGAAAAGAGGTGGTGGAGTCTAAACCTGCCATAAGTAAGATGTTAGAACGCTGGCCTGCTCTTTTCATGGAATATCAGGTATGTTCAAGAGAGATAATGCCAATGGTTTTGCCTTTATCTTCCCATCATTATTTGATGTCATTTTGATGTCTCTGGATATATTTGTCATTGTTTCTTAATTTATTCCATTGCCCATTTATTCTTCAAGGCCCATATTAGAACGTGTGGCGGTTAGGATATTGGTCAGGTGTAGCTGGTTGGAACAAGGAGCCTTTAAACTGTATTTTTCTCTGCATTTTTTTTGTATTTTACAGGTGTACATGGAGTAACAGGATTGTGAGCAAGAACCTCAAGCAGGATTTCTATGGAAGCATCAATCAGCACAGTTTTCGTCTTACTGAGATCTAATTTGAGATCAATCTAAGGGAGGGAATATTGAGCAGCTGTTGACACAGCTATCACAAGAGACCAGGGTTGGTCCATAGCAATTATACACTTGCACTGCGTTGTTTTTCACTGCTTATGTAGTAACAACATGTCACAGAAAGTGCTACTATATTGGTTGTGCAATACAATCAAAATTGTGCTTGGTTAGTTCAGCATTCTTATGGACCATTCATTTTTTATTATTCTAATTATGTAATTTGCCTTGTCACTTTACTTTCCAAAAGACTAAAGGGCCAACTGATGTTCGGACACTGGTGCTCAGAGGCCTTGCAGGTGTCCTTGGTGACATCTCCACAGACTTCTACAAAACGGCCTATGTAAGTAACCTCTTACTTTCTCAAAAGAACCATGACAGCGAAATCTTGAATTTTCACCACTATTCGATAGTTCCTGTCTTCAATAAACCCTGTCAGTATAGTTTTATACAATTAAAGAATAATAAATGGTTCCACTTATTACTAGTACAGGCTGTCCATCCAGTTAGTTTGTGGTATTTTGTGAGATTTCCAGTCTGCCATGATCTCCTTTATCTCCCAGCACTCTGACACAGTGAGGCTGGATAGGTGTTCTTTTGTGCACACTCTTAAAAAGATGGTTCTTCGAGGGTTCTTTAGTAAAGAAAATGGTTCTATATAAAACCATGAACACTCAAAAAACCCTTTGCATGATTAAAGGGTTCTTTGCATCGTGAAAGCATTCTTCAGATGGATGGAGAATGTTATATTCATAACATTCTCCATCTATAGGTCTGTATAGAAGCTTTTTGAAAATGCTTCTGTATAGCACCACAAAGGGTTCTTCTATTGTATACAAGCTTGACATCATAACAATAGAAGAACCCTTATTCGTACTATATAGAACCATTTTCTTGAAGAACTCTTGAAGAACAATCTTTTTTAAGAGTGCGTGGAGCTCAAATTATTAAATGTACACAAGGAAAATTTTATTGCAACACGTCTTTCTGAGCTTTTTCCAACCTCCTTTGGGTGATGCACCTGTTTAATCTACTCCAGCAGTCATAACAATCTCACACCTTTCCTCATACATCTGACTCTCCCATGACTAGACTATCTTGATGGTTAATTGATGAGTAATGTTATGATTGTGCTCTTATGCTGTTAGAACTCTGATAACTCATGCTGCCACGTTGACATTGGGATCCTCCTCATTCAGCATAAAGGTGCTGTGCTCTCCTCATCCCTCCATCTCAGTCCAGCCCCATTGAAGATCATCACTGAGGGAGAAGTCGTGATGAACAACATTCAAGACCTGCTAAAAGCCATGTGCATTAGGCTTGGGCTTACATATGCACAATATCTCAACTGTCTCAAGTCTATGAAGAACACATTCCAGTTCATCCAATAGGTACTTCTCATACTGGGCCACAGTGAACTAAAACCCAGATTACAAACACTGAAAAACCAGCTTGCGTTGTAAATAAAAGCTGGGTCAAGTCTATTGTAAGAAGATGTGGCTGCTTTCGTTTTTTCAAGTGTTTATTTGTTTTGTTTGTTTTTTCACTTCAACCTGGTGCCCCTGTGTTCACCATGTTGTTATGGTCCCCTCTTTGACTTCAGTAGCTTCTCCAAACCTTCAAGTTTGATAAAATACAAGACATCTCACATGGTTTCATTGCCCTTGTCACCAATGATGCAAAGGAAAAGTTTAACAGGTGCTTGTTTTTTGCATTATATGAGAACTGATTTAAGTTTAATGAGGAATAGGAATGTTCAGCCACAGTACAAGATGTAGTAGTATGCTCAGAACTGCATATTAGTGCTCAGTTGATATGATATAGTTAACACAGTTTATCAGTCAAGGTGAAGTTTTGAAGGCTTGTATCAAGTTATAATGCATGTTTTTGTGTCCAGTCATTTACAAAAATATAGCAGATATTATACAATGCTGTGCATGTATATCACTTCTCCTAACAAGTTGGAGTTGTTACCGAGGAGTTTTAATTTCTGTTTTTATTTGTCTTTTGGTTGACAAGTTTGGTATTGGTGCAGTAACCTATTTGAAGTGTTACCTTGCAATGTTTTGTCAATAAAATACATTGGAACATTGAAATGTATTGTTGAAATTCTTCCCTTCCAATTTTAAACTACAAGAAAACATTACTTATTTTACCACATTATTTTAAGTAGTGATAATATTATATTTATTTGTTTTTTGTATGTTTAACTTAAAATAGTTATTTTATAGAACTAAGACTTCAGAAAAGATATTATTTATGTGAACTTATGATTTTGAGGAAAGACTACTAATGTAAACTGGATTTGTGTACTACATCCATTTAAGGTTCTTTGTTAATACAACTTAAAGTGTTTAGTTTCACCTTTGTGTAAAAACTTAAACAGTATAAGGCAACGAGTTTCCATGCAATTTTCTAGTCAAGATAAGAGTGTACATTTGTATCACTATCATTACGCTGCCCCCTTTCTAGCTCAGTCCCTTCTGCATTAAACTGAGCTACTGCGAAATTCAAATAACTGAACAGTCATTAGTTCATATACCAGGTGGAAATGTGAACATTCCTCTCACTCAGTGTGTGAACTCCCTCATTTTCAGCTGCCCATGTCACTGCCAGAATTTTCTGTGAAGGCAGTATTGTCCCTTCTTTGACCTCAGCGTCATGCAGCCGGCTGTCTTTTCTTCATGCTTGTCATTTTGTGATTGGCTGAGATGGAATCTGTTCCACTTCTTCGTGCTCTTCCTTTTGAGCATTGTCTGATGACTTATGTTCAGGATGGGTGTACTTATGTCTCAGCAATTGACCCACGATGGTATGTCATTGCTTACGTATGGTTGTAGGTGATAATGGTGCAACACTTGATCACCTCAACAATCTCTAACTATGTATAGGACAGGCCCAAGACAGGCAGTGATGACACAGGGACCTTGTCATGGAGCTTAGAACTTAGGGCTATAGTCCTTTTTTAGGCTGCTGACATTCACATGGACTAGATTACCCATATGACATGACTTTTCTTTTGCATGCATGCCAGAGACCTTCTGATGTATTTGAGAAGTATGTACGTTCTGTCTTGCCAGATGGTGAACTTTCTGGCGGTAGGACTAAAGATCCTCAACATAATCTCATTCCTTGACTCCTGAGGTGGCACCTGCTGTTCTCAGCCAGATGTTGTGAGGGTGAAACACTTCTCTACCCAGCATGAGTTGAATTGGGGTTAATCCAGTGGCTGAATAAACAAACTGTGGTAAGCAGCAGGGGGATATATTCATGCCAGTTCCACCGATCCTGATCAAAATACCATCTTAACATCTGCAATAGTGTTTTACTGCCCTGATCTGTATGGATCTCCAGTGAGGCTCCAAAAACAAGAGATAAAGTCAAATGATTGTCTCTTTGCTGTTGTCTCTGCTCCTCTCCTCTGGAGCTTTGAAGCTGCAAGTTGTTTTTGGTTGCTACCTTTACTTCTAGGCAAGTCCTCATTCTGTTTTCCAGTGATATATCATTATCACAAGAAAGCTTTAAGCTCTGTCAGCACAAACAAAGGTGATGTGGAGCTAAACGACAACATGAACACACAGCATCAGTAGGAGCAAAGTTACACAGCCAGTGGTCAAGTTTCTTTTTCACCCACCTTTTATCGCTTTCTTACAAATGTTCTTGGTTTCTATGGCAGGCAGATTGGACATATATTCACCTGACAGGGTTTATAAATGATCCATTTCACTCCTATCATTCTGTTCTGATAGTTCTCTGTTGGTTTTGTTTTGTACTGCTGTTTTACATTAGTCTATGGTGAGTGACATTTTTTTCCCCAAAAAAGGCCCGGGGATGCATTGCAAGCCAAAATTCCTGGATGTGCTGATCTGATCCATTGTTGTACTGTGGTTTATGTAGAAACAGCTCCAAAGACTAATGATGGAGATCACTTTCAGGAACTTACAGGACGCTCCAAAGACTATAAAAGTGATCACTATTATTAGTATGTGGAGTCTTTTCTAAATATACTACAGTGCCCATATTTTTTTGTAATGAAGAAATACAATTAGCTCCATATTTATTTTGGCTCTGTATGCCACAGTGAATTTGACATGAAACAATTTACATGTATTTTAAGTGTATGTCACCATTAATTTTAGGGTTTTGTGTGAACTGCATAATCTTTTCATGACATTTGCTCACAATAAGAAAAATACAGAAAATCATCAGACTTTTCCTTTAAAAAGACACCCCACAGTTCCTAACCAGCCAAGCTGTTGAAGTTCAGCAGGCCAGAGAGAAATTTAAAAACTGAGAGGAAATATTTAATAAATATACAAAATAATTTGTAAAAAGTGATTTGTCTAACTAACCAAAAAGTTGCTGCCCATTACTTTTGGTTGATGATTAATTTAATTAATGATTTGTCTTTGTTATTTTTGGAAAATTTCATGCTGCATTGCCAAATCAGTTTAGCATAATATGCAAACACCAGTACTTACTCCAGTGAATAAGTTGCCAAGCCTATACATTAACAAGAAACAATTCAGAGACTATTAAAAGCATGTTTTAATTTTTATAATTTTTTTTTAATTTGTATAAATTTTCTGTACCAGTTTGGCTATAGCTGATAAAGAATGTCGCAACTTACCAAGTACTGCTTCATAAGGCTGTCAGGCTTTTCATTTAAGCAGACAACAATGCTTTTATGATGCATTCCCGTTGTTCTTCAGCACTGGGATTCTGTGGGCGATCAACAAGTGATTTCGAACAAGTCTTTCTAAATGCACCAAAGGTTCCAGATTTGGGTTCCTTTTTGCCATCGATTAAAGAGTCAGCAAGAGAGCTATATATATATATATATATATATATATATATATATAAGAGAGCAATTTATATATATATATATATATATATATATATATATACATACAGTGGAGGAAATAAGTATTTGATCCCCCACTGACTTTAAAAGTTTTAATACCAAAAAAATAAATTAAACGTCTCATAATTTTATGCCAGCTTTATTTTAACAGTGACACATAGAATATCAAAAGAAAAACTGAGAAAATTACATGAAATGAGAAATAAAAATTCATTTGAATTTCATTGAAGGAAATAAGTATTTGACCCCCTAGTAAAACATCATTTAATACTTGGTGGCAAAGCCCTTGTTGGCAAGCACAGCAGTCAGACGTTTCTTGTAGTTTTTTATAAGGTTTGCACACACTTCAGGAGTAATTTTGGCCCACTCCTCTCTGCAGATCATCTCCAAATCCGTAAGGTTTTTAGGCATGCATTTGGAAACGGGAAGCTTCAGCTCTCTCCATAGATTTTCTATGGGATTGAGGTCAGGAGACTGGCTAGGCCATTCCATGACCTTGATATGCTTCTTATGGAGCCACTCCTTTGTTTCCTTGGCGGTATGTTTTGGGTCGTTGTCATGCTGAAAGACCCATCCACGACCCATTTTCAGTGCCCTGGCGGAGGCAAGGAGGTTGTCACCCAGGATTTTGCGATACATGGCCCCATTCATCTTCCCGTCAATACGGTGAAGTTGGCCTGTGCCCTTAGAAGAAAAACACCCCCAAAACATAATACTTCCACCACCATGCTTGACGGTGGGGATGGTGTTCTTAGGGTCATATTCTGTATTTTTCTTCCTCCAAACACGTTGAGTTGAGTTGAGGCCAAAGAGCTCAATTTTGGTCTCATCTGACCACAGCACCTTCTCCCAGTCTTTCTCGGAGTCATTAATATGTTCATTGGCAAACTTGAGGCGGGCCTGGACGTGAGCCTTCTTGAGCAGAGGAACCTGGCGTGCACTGCAGGATTTTAAACCATTATGTCTCAGTGTATTACCAATGGTTTTTTTGGAGACTGTGGTCCCAGCTGCCTTAAGATCATTAACCAGCTCCTCCCGTGTAGTTCTTGGCTGATTTTTAGCCTTTCTCATGGTCAATGAGACTCTACGAGGCGATATCTTACATGAAGCTCCAGACCTAGGTCGATTGACAGTAATGTTGTATTTCTTCCACTTCCGAATAATTGCACCAACAGTTGTCACCTTCTCATCCAGCTTTTTACTTATGGCTTTGTAGCCCATTCCAGCCTTGTATACGTCAACAATTTTGTCCCTGACATCTTTAGACAGCTCTTTAGTCTTGCCCATGGTGGAGATGTTGGAGTGTCACTGAGTCTGTTGGCAGGTGGCCTTTTATACAGGTGACAATTTGGGACAGGTGTCTCTCATGCAGGTAACAACTTCACTGAGATTAGGGTGTGTCAGTGGTCTGTGGGAGCCAACATTAGTCATGGGTTTTAGGGGATCAAATACTTATTTCCCTCAATGAAATGCAAATTATTTTTTATTTAAATATTATTTAATTTTCTAGATTTTCTTTTTGATATTCCATCTCTCACTGTTAAAATGAAGCTACCATAAAAATCATAGACTGTTTAATTATTTGTCAGAGTACAAACTTTCAAAATCAGTGGAGATCAAATACTTATTTCCTCCACTGTATATATATATATATTCATTCATTAAAACTAATTTCTAACTATTCCTGACATTTAATCCTTCCTTAATATAATCCATTCCCTCTCTTAGATCAGTTAGGATCCCTTCTATGTTTTAAGAATAAGAAAGGTCAGTAATACTAGAAACAAAGAGTTATTTCAGCTTTTATTTCTTTCGTCATATTCCCAGTGGCTCAGAAGTTTACATACATGTGGTTACAGTGGTGGATGAAGTACACAAACCATGTACTTGAGTTATAGTAGAGATACCCAAGGTAAAATACTACTCCAGTAAAAGTGGAAGTCCTCCCTTTAGACCTCCACTTGAGTAAAAGTACAAAAGTATTTGCCCTCAAATGTACTTAAGTATCAAAAGTGAAAGTACTAAAAGATTAATTATGACTCTAATGTCCTATTATCATTTTTGTAACATGACTCTTGCTTTATCAACTAATTTTAGATGAAAATACTCTAGTGTCACTCTTGTAACACCAATATTTTAATAGAATATCATTAATTAGTCTGTCACTGATGTCTATTAAAATGATCAAAAGCACAAAATACTGAAGGCAAACAATTTCCATTGGGTAGAACCAAGTGGCTATGAAATAACTTTTTGCGAACAAGCAAAGTTTCTGTTTAAGATTTATTTGCAACTAAGTTTAAATAAAAATTAGTTTCAATTTAAACAAGTTTTTATTAAATTTTATTAAAAAGTTTAAATTTAATAAAAACTTGCTTTAAATACAGGTTCACAAATTAGTTTTCCTTTACTATATTGTATCTGTAGGTCTCTGTTCATAAACATAAACTAGTGTTTGTATATATTCAGAAAAAAGAAACATGCCAGTCACAACTGCATATTTTTACATGTTTTTTTTTTATTGTGGTCTATTTACACAAAGTTTGGTTAAAGTCAGGAGTTTCTTCCATCATCTATGTAGGAATAGGCACTCCCAAACTTTTATGCTGTTGCACTGTTGTCATTGAACCATATGCTTGCACTGGGTAGGTATTTCCAACAGGTCAAAACACACTCAAAACAAAGTGTGCACTGAACTCTGATTGGTGTGCTTGCTTCACGCTTCCTTCGTTTTGACATGTTACATTTTTATGCTTACATAAGCCAGAAGGAACAACAGATTTTGCATAATGTAGTGGAGTGAAAGCAAAAAGTCACCAAAAATGGAAATACTTCAGTACAGTACAGATACACAAAAAAACTACAGTAACGAATTACATTTACTTCATTACTGTCCACCACTGCGTGGTTAGTATTTGGTAGCACTGCCTTTATTTAATTTGGGTCAAAATTGTTTAATTTGGGTTAAAAGTTTGAGTAGTCTTCCACAAGCTTCTCACAAGTTGCTGGAATTTTGGCCCATTCTACCTGACAGAACTGGTGGAACTGAATCAGGTTTGTAGGCCTCCTTGCTTACACACGCTTTTTCAGTTCTGCCCATAGATCTTCTATGGGATTGAGGTCAGGGCTTTGTGATGGATTACTTTCACTTTATTGTCTTTAAGCCATCATGCCACAGCTTTGGAAGTATGCTTTCTTGTATAGCAGCACGTGGTGGCCCACCCATCATAGGTTACTAGAAAATATTAAAGCATGAAATTGTTTCCATAGTTCATGTTATCCAGAATTCAGAGATAAGATTCATTGGTTGCTTTTCCTGCAGGGGATGCTGTTGTCAGGGGGAAGTTGGAGTCACTTTAAAGCAATTGGCCGAGAAGCCCCATCCCGCGTTGTGTTTTCCCACCCGTATTCCGACAAACCCAGCGTCCTACACTCGGATATTTTAGTAATCCCTACTCACAAGCAGTCTGCGCTTTTAGAACACTAAAGTTCCTCTCGTATGTGATACAATTGGTTGCTACTTATACGTCATCTTTTTTCCCACTCACAAGGGTTAGGAGGCTACAGCCAATCCTAGTACAGGGGCGGGGCTTTTAGGAATACGGGTGGGGAAAAATATTGGAAAAAAATATCAGACTTGTGCTTGACGCAAGCGAGCAACGATATCACACTTGTACCTAACGCAAGCAAGCAACGAACTGAGTTGGACCAAAACCGAAAATGGCTTTTATCAGTGTGGTGAAACCGTAAGACTGTGGAGCGCGACGGAGAATAGCTACCTGGTTTTTTGAGGGGGGCGGTGAAAGAGGAGGCAGCTCTTTCCTTCCGCTCCAGCCATGGCTCTTGTGACCCTGCAGCGCTCCCCTACGCCTACCGCGGCGTCCTTGGTCAGCACCGCGACCCTAAACGCGGAGGAGGTGAGTGAAAGCCCGCTGAAGCTGCTGCCTACGCGTACAGACGCTGGAGGAAGCACCAGGGGTGGGTAGGGGGGTAGACCGGTGGCTGACGAGATTTAATAGCTAATGTTATCCCGGCCTGTTAGCCAGCTATACGCGATCGCTTGTCAACGCACTTTTTCTTGTTGAGGATATCATATAAATCATAAATTTGACCAAAAACAAAAAAAGTTATTTTTCGTTAGAGATACTCAAAGTTCTAGGCAGCAAGCTATATGTCCTATCACTAAAAAATACATAAAAAACTGGCCTAATTAAAAGAGAGCATAGACATGTTTAAGATTGGTTACATTTGTGTCAGACGGCAACCCTCAAAACGATCTTTGGTTGACATAACCACCTTTGGACCCCTCGAGGTAGAGGAGGTTGGCTTTGTATTAAGTTAACCACGTATTACGTATTAAGTTCCTTGAAACTGTCCACGAGGATTGATAGTAACCAAGAAATGTTGGAAAAATGTCCTCCCAAAATGGGTTGTAGCAATATCTTTGCTATGTTTTAGATATAACACTTGGAGCCACTGAGTATTGGCACTAAGGGCAGAACATGCTGCAGTGAGAGTGAGTGTGTGTATATGTGTGTTGCTGCTGCAGTGATGTCATGCAGTGGATAGGCCTACTCTGCCTGGCGACCAAGCACTCCCATTGTCTTCCCGGCAGACACAGTTACGTTGTGACAACCTACCGTTTTGGTGCCCACAACATCGTTACAACTTTGAAATACAATATCTCAGAAAGTTGTGACAACATTATCTGACAACATTATCTGACAACATTGTGACAACGTAGTGGCAACGTTGTCAGTACCTTGTCACAACCTCCTAGAATCTTCATAAGTTCCCTTATGTCGTGCTTGGAACTTAAAATTTGGCGAAGTTGCCAACAGGTAGTCATAACACCACACGGCGATGTTACTGAATAATGAGGTTGTGACAATGTTGTGACAAACAACATAGTCAGCACCACCTTTTGACAACGGCCACCACCTTTTGTAGCAATGTTGTAAGAAAGTAGACAACTTTGTGTGTTTGCTGGTTTGCCATTTTATTTGTTTTTAGGTTTCTTAAATTTAGCCAATTAAGTTCCTAAATTAAATTAAGAGTGTTAGAGTGGGTTGCACCAACAGAGACTAAGTATAAACTTGAATTAAATCAATGTTCATCTATTAATACAGTTGCAGCAAACTTTAAACCTATTTTTAAACGTAATCAGGGTTACTTTTAGGGTGGGTTACACCAGCAAGGACAAAATCAAAGTTTAGAGCTAAACAAAGATGTGTTATTCTAGGTTTTATTTCAAATCTAGTTGTGTTGCACCGCTTAATTTTAAACATGGATTAACAAATCTGCAATTAACACCTTAATGTGTTATTAAAACCTTGACTTTCCATTAATTTTAATTGTATGCCATAATGAATTTGGCAGTATAAATAAACAGCAACAACATCACATTTGAACAATAATATACTAATATGCCTGTCTATATTTTTTTTTTCTCTTCTGACTGAAAGCTATCATTGGGCTAGGCCACATCAAACATAGCTCTTACAGGCAAAGAAAGAATTTAGGCAGTCTGTTATTAGACCCAGGCTTGGCATCAGGGGGAGCCATTCAGCTAGTCTGAGATGACTGCTTAAATCATCCATAAAACCTATGGGTATGGGCAAAAATCTATAAGTTGCCAGTGAATTTAAGGTCGCACTTCATTTAAGGTAGCACTAAATTTAAGGTGGAATTGCATTTAAGGTGGCACTGAATTGAAGGTGGAATTGCATTTAAGGTAGCACCGAATTTAAGGTGGCACTGAATTTGAAGTGGCACTGAATTTAAAGTATCAGTAAATTTGAGGTAGCAGTGAATTAAGTGTTCGTTTATTGATCAGAAGTTTTGCAGGGATGCGAGTTACTCTCACATTCACCACCATGGAAAAAGAAAAACATAAAATAGAGACGCAAACGTGTATACCAATATAGATTTAACCAATCAGGTCTCTGATGCTTGGCCAAAAATTTGCTCCACAATCCATAATCAAACGCAAATCATTATTTTATTGCTTTTCTTTTGTTATTGACAGCAGCTCACAGTGGAGGAACGATATGAGTGTTTGTAAAGAGTGAAATGTTAAAGCAGCAGATTGTACAGACAGTACAGTGAAAATGTGCTCTGGAAAAACATGTTCCCTTGTGAATCTGTCAATTCACTGATCAGTTCAGTCAATTCAGGTGGAGTCGCATGTCAAAACCGAATTAAAGAAAAATTTCGGCAGGTCCGCACCAACCAAGGCGGGTCTGAAAGCACCTACCAGCTGAAATGGAGATTCTGATTGGCTCTGCTGCTCAGTTTAACTCTGTCTCTTTGTGCTTTATGCAGTTTTTATGTGTGCGTCCTGAACTCAAAAAGCAGTAGGGCATCGCCACAGTATTTTGAAAAGTGGTTGGGCAAATGCCCGCTGGCCACCGTGGTTCCGGCAGCCCTGCATCAACAGTCTTCGACTGTTTAAGTGTTTTTACGTAAATAGCTGGCTTTTTCAAGTCAACTTTTTAGTTAAGATTGCTTTTTTTCAACATTGTTGTAAACGTTGTAAATTAAAAATGGTGTATTATTCTGGATGTCCCTTAACTTTTGGTAAGAAATATGTTTGTGCTGCACTTCGTTTTGCAATGATGCTCTCACGCCCCTCCTTAAACAACAGCAAATACTGTGCAAGATTTGTTACACAATACATGCTGTGTACTGAATAGACTTAGATTTACTGCTATAAAATGCGTGGTTTGTATAGATATATATCTATAAAACACAATCCATCATAGTTATTTTTTTTTAACCATGAATGTTACATCTACCCAAATATATATATATATATATATATATATATATATATATATGTGTACATATATATATATATGTATGTATATGTGTGTATATATATATGTATATGTGTATATATATATGTATATATATATATATATATATATATATGTATGTATATGTATATATATATGTATATATGTATATATGTATGTATATGTATATATATATATGTATATATGTATATATATATGTATATATATATATGTATATGTATATATATATATATATATATATATATATATATATATATATATATATATATATTTACTTTATGTTTTCTAAAAAGAAGACTTGTGTTAGTTATCCCTTCAACAAGCACTGTTGTCTTTTTGAGAAAACAAATCATTTTGGGAATTACCAAAAACAAATTAAAATGTGCCGAAAATATATCCTATGATACAAAATGGCACATGTATCGTATCATGAAATTTTTGTATTGTTGCACCCCTAATCTGCACCCCAAAGTGCAAAGTTAAATCAAAATTCAATCTGTGATATGTAAATTCATGACCTTTCCAAAGTTCATGAGTCATAGTGTTAAATATTCACGATCTCAATATTGACCAAAATAATCGTGATTATGATTTTTACCAATATCCAGCATCCCTACTGCAAGTAGTTCACACTATCAGTTGTAGCTGAGAAGCTGCGGAGCTTCTCGGCTTGTAGCCCGAAATTGTGGTGTTATCTGAAGCCGCTGGCTGAGCGAGGAGTGCTGCATACAGACAGTTGGCTAATCTCCATGGTAGGCTAATAGCTATCAGCTAATCCCAAGAGACTGGCTCTTCATTTCCCTCTCTTTTCCCTGTTAACTCATTAACTCCTTACAATCTAATGTCTGCTCCTTTGACAATAAACTGGACTAAATTACCTCAGACTGCAAGTCACTACACCAGAGGTGAGGGAATTAGCATGTTTTGCACTGTTTGTATGTTGCGTTATCTGCATTTATCTTGCCTACCAGTATAACGATAATGACAAAACTAACACCTTACGAAGAATTGAAGAGTTCATCTGCAAAAACAGATATCTCCATTTAAATGAATTTTCATAAATCATGTCTTTTTATTGTGCATTTCAGGTAATATCAATCAAACTGCCATTGAATTGTTTCAATTAAGTAAAAATAGCTCAACAAAATACAGCTTACAAAATTAAACTTTAAAATTTTGTTTTTTGGCAAAAGCACATGCATCCAATGGTCATTTTATGTTTCAGAGTTGAACAAAGCCATGGATACAAGTTTCTTTTAAGTACAATATTTAACATTCTTTAACGTAAAACAAGTGGGTAAAGTGCCGAAAATTGCAACAAAACAGCCCATTAATGGGCAATATTGAACATCTATAAGGTCATACCTCGGAAAATGCTAAGGCTAAATCTCAATTGGCTCATTGCTCTTTATAAAGTGCACTGTGTGAGTTATGAAATTTTGTCTCTTACACTGAAATATTGTCCAGTATGGAATTGTGCACACATGGCTGAATTATAAATTCATTCTTTGTTGGACATCTCACAGGTTTTCACACTATCAAAAAAAGCTTATTTCACTAATGCTGCGTAGTGTAGAAGAACCAATCAGTGTGGACCAAAAATCTCAAAACACTTATAGTATAAGTACTAAAATGGGATTATAGTATATTTTGCCATAAATGTTTACATATAAACATGATCATACTAATTAATAATAAACTAGAAAGCCCCGGTGGTCCCCCGCTACCTTCCTTACTATTCAGTTTAAAAATGATTACATTTTCTTCTTTTTTTGGTTTAAACTAAAGGATGTACGGAGCATGATATTATATACTGATAACAAAAACAAATTAATAATGCAAGAAGTTCATAAGACTTCCTCTCTTCAGTCTATGGATGATAAAGAAACAGAAATGAAGAGCTATACTGTAGTATACTCTAGACACACTAGATGGCAGCAAAGAGGACAAACCTTTGTCACGTAGGCATGTCTCGGAGTGGGAGTGCCTTATAGTATTGTTGGGGGTTTAAGAAGGAGCAAACACACTTTTAGAGGAAGGTGCACGAAGAGGAATCAGAGGAATCATGTTTTCTTGGAAATATATAGCTTTGCGTAACT